AGAGAGAGAGAGAGAGAGAGAGAGAGAGAGAGAGAGAGAGAGAGAGAGAGAGAGAGCTGGAACGTTGTACAGTCCACCAACCAGCCATAGGCGTGCAGCACCATCACAACACCCCTCTCCTCCTTCATCATCTTCTTCCATAGATCGTAACCTTCGGATGAGACGAGATACTGACTTGCAAGAGCTAACGCCTGCCCCCTGATTTTCATCCCAGACTTCTTCTTTCCCGCCTTTGCACTCATCGAGGTCGCTGTTGCCCTCGTCGTTGACTCAGACTGTCCACCACTAACATCCTTTCGTTTGTCGGAAGAGGGAGCCGGTCCTGCATCTGGGAAAGCAGTAGAACATGTGGCAATTGTGGACGACTTGGCAGCAGATGCGGTGACAGCAGCTGATGAGGCAGCAGACGATGACATAGCAGCAAATGGATTGGCAGCAGATGACGTGGCAGCAGGCGACGTAGCAAATGGCTTGGTAGCAAATGGACTGCCAGAAGATGACGTAGCAGAAGATGACGTCGCAGCAGATGACATAGCAGCAAATGGCTTGGCAGCAAATGGTACCGGTAGACTGCTGGCTTTTAACGACCGTCCGGTAGGGGCATCCCGCAAATTTGGGACCCTACCGGTACGAAAAGATTTGAGGCCCAAACGACACCGGGGTCTTATGGAAAATTTGTACCCTGCTCAGTGGGGCGCGACAGGGTAAATCAGCCGGTGGAGGGGCGCGGCGCAAAATAATGCAAATTACAGGGGCGCCAGACAAATTTCCAAAAAAAAAAACGGCCCTTCCGGCTGGCCAACCCCCCCTGGCACTTCGGAACCCGTCCCCATCGGTTGTCGTTAGATGCAGCGGCCCGTTCGGAGCGCCCATCGCCGCTGTGTGGCACGTCGCCGCTACGCCCGCCATCGCCCGTTGCCAGCTGGAGCCCGTCAACCGTGAGTTAGTGTGTTTTGTGTGTGTGTGTGCGTGTGTGTGTGTGTGTGTGTGTGTGTGTGTGAGAGAGAGAGAGAGAGAGAGAGAGAGAGAGAGAGAGAGAGTAGTCGCCTCTATCCTCCTCTTCCTCGACACCCCTTCTCCTCCGCCCTCCCATTCCTCATCGCGATCCCATTGCCCCCCGCCCCCCCTCCACCCACTCATGCTTCCTCCTCTTCGCGCCTGGCCCCCCAACCCCGATCCATCCCGACTCTGTCTCTTATACACATCTAGATGTGTATAAGAG